TTAAAGTTTCTTTTCACACAAACATTTGAAATGGAGAAATATTACCGACCCATTAGCTAAATGAAAACCTAAGCAGCACACAACCTTCTTTACTGAGAATAAAAATTAGCATCTTAATATTAAAATATATCTGCGCCTCCTTAGACAACTGCCTTCCCCAGCTTCTGCAGAGGGTTTCTCCACTGCTAGCACAGAACAGATGTCTGTAATGCCATCCTAAACCGTCTCCTATCAAGTCTGCAGGGCAGGTCCTTGCTCTGCCATTCTCACTCACCAGTTTAAGCTCTTACGCAAGCATTTTTACTGCCTGCAGTTATGTCCAGGTGAGTAGGCATTTGCAAGACGTAGATTATATTTTTAACCCACACAAACGGCACAGCAAGGTTAACCAAATGTCTTAAGCTCAGATTAGTCAGTACCATACAAATTATTTCCTTCTGCACACTCCACAATACAATTAGATTTCTGCAAAGAATTTAAGGCTTCCTCTAGAGTTTTACCTCTCCAAAACAAGAGTGCATCTCTGCAGAGATATTTTCCATATAGTTTGATCATACTAACAGCATAAATAACAGGGATGGTTTAGCAAACAGTCATGAAAGTTAGGCTCAGCTAAAAGAGCCGGTGTTAGTGTATGGTGCTTTTAATCTGGAAACATCATATTAAAATAAAAAAATGCAAACACGCAATACTACACCCTATCCACTGCTTCGGAGCTTTACAGCCGACAGAGTTACTATAGGAACTTAATTCCTGGTGCCGTAGCACCGAGACACTTGAACACAACCTGATCAAATGCCTTCAGGACTCTGCCTTCACACTGTGTGCAACCACTAGCTGCTAATGGCACGCACAAAGCTTGAAAGGAAAATATATTATTTTCAGAGGATTACACCAGACACAGAGACAGATATGCAAAAACAATGACACCAAAGGAATCAAAATATTCATGGCCCATAAAGCGTCGTGGAGAAGGAATGGCTCCAGCTCATCGCCTGCCTCTGCTTAGATTCTTTATAGCACAATGAATCAACATTACCCCTTTTAGAAAACCATCCCGAGTTCTGTTTATTTGGGGACAAATCCACCTAATCCCGCTCATACAAGCAAGCACAGCAACTTCAAGGGAGCTGCCAGTCTGGGAGAGGACAGCAGAATACGGCCCCTTTTTGTGAACAGTCCTGGGACTCTTCTGGGTTGCGACACAATCCATTATTAATGACACACTAAAAGCTGAGCTAACATGGCACCTGCTCTGCCAGCGCCGTCCTGCCCCAGCCGGCTCTGTAACGCTTTCGCCCGAGCTGTGAGCACGAGGAATGCCCGCAAGTCCCTGCTGCCAGGCCCTGGCATTGAAAATCATGAGCTGTCTCACCCAACTCGCAAAAGCAGCCTAAGAAAACTGGGAAAAAGGCAGGGTCTTTCCTGCTCAAGGACTCTCCGTATCTCCCTGCAATGGGCAAAAGCGAGGATCAGAGCCTTTTTGCTTCTTTTTTACAGAAAACCCCTTCTTATTTGTCCATGAGAGCTGAGGACTTGGCAGCAGGGTGAGACAGCTCTTCCCTGGCCTTCACCCCCGAGGTGTTGGGGCCAGCCGCAGCCGGTGGGGCAGAGGCACTGCACGGACAGCAGCGCCCACCAGCACAGCATGCCGTGCTCGGGGGACACGGCCCTCCTGCCCCACCTCACGGTGTTGGTGCTGAACCCCGTGCTTTGCAAGCATTTCACAGCCGAACAGGTCCCCAGCCCTTTTTGCACCCATCCCACACCCATTCCTCCCTCCCAAACCATACATACACACCCCAGCTGCCCCTGCCTCATCCATGCCTCATTTTGGGGGGAGGGGCTGCAGAGTGGCTGAGGGGGGCCCCTGACCTCAGTGGGGTGCAGACAACAGTTTGCTCCCCCCCTTCCCCATACTGGGTGCTAGCCCTGGCTGGATGGGGAGGCCCCAGGGTAGGGGACCGGCTGGCTACCCAGGGGAAGCCAAATGGTCCAGGATGCTGGTTTTAAGTCCTTGCTATAAAGGTGGCTGGGATTGTGCTGCCACCCCAAGAAAGAACCGCGGGGGCAGGCAGGAGGGCAGGTACGCCAGCACGGCCCGAGGGCGCCGGGGACAAACCGGGGCCACTGGCCCCGAGATGCTGCATCCTGCATCC